CTCCCACCTCAAGCCGCACCTCCATCTCCTACCGACCAACCTCATCCCGCCCCCTTGACCTGTCCATCCTCCCTGGACTGACCTATCCCCTTCCTAACTCCCCACCTACACTCACCTTTACTGGCTCCATCCCTGCCTCTTCGACCTGTTTATTTCCTCTCCACCTATCCTCTCCTCTATCCATCTCCTATCCGCCTCCCACTCTCTCCCTATTTATTTCAGAACCCCCTTCCCCTCCCCCTTTTCTGATGAAGGGTCTAGGCCCGAAACGTCAGCCTCTCTGCTCCTATGATGCTGCTTGGCCTGCTGTGTTCATCCAGCCCTGCACCTTGTTGTCTCATATCATTTACCCAATAGTCTTAACATTGCCACCACCACATTGATATCATCTTAAGTGTTAATAGATGTCAATATGATGAAAATCTAGCTGAAATCTCTCTTTGGTGTTAATTTGCTTTGAGAAATTGAACAAATGCATTGATTGTCCACCCTTCATGTTAAAACCTTGGCCAGGAAACTATAAGGGCAAATTATTATTTAATTGGGAAGCAAAATCAAAGTGCATCACTGCAGATGAACTGAAAACAAAACATGTTGGAGATCACATGGAGAAAAAGCAAGCCAATGTTTCGAGTCTAGAGGACTCTTCATCAGAACTGATGTGAAGTGTGGAGGGGGCAGCATTTATGCAATAGTTGGGGGAGGGGTCTGCTGGGGGAGAAAGGATGTTGATAGTTCAGATTAAGTGATCAGAATGTGAGAATGGCTGAACAGTGGTGTGTCTAACTGCCAGACTGGAAAGAAGAGATACAAAAACAGAAGTTGCTGGAAAAGCTCAGCAGGTCTGGCAGCATTTGTGAAGAAAAAGTCAGAGTTAACGTTTCAGGTCCGGCGACCCTTCCTCAGAACTCAGTTAACCCGAAATATTAACTCTGATTTCTCTTCATGAATCTGTGGAATTTGTTGCCCCAGACAACGGGGGACACTAGGACACTGAATAAGTTTAAGGTGGACATGGATTTTTAAGTAGTGATGTGTTAAGGAGTAATGGGAAGTGAGCAGAAAAGTTGATGTGAGACTGAAATGAGACCCTGCCATGATTGTATTAAATTATGGAGCAGGCTCGAGGGGCTGAATTGCCTGCTCCTGCTTCTAGTTCTCACGTAATCTTTTTAAAAAAACTTCTAAAAGCATTAATTTACAGAGATACAATGATGACAAACATGGAACTCATAACCCAAAACCCACAAATTCAGTGTGTTCCTGTTTAAAGGATCACAACAGAATCCTTACTTTTCACTCTGAGACTTTCTCTATTATGTGGCAAATAAACTTTCCATTAAAAAAAAACTATGCTTTGTAACAGCAGGACAAAAGAAAAGCAGCTCTACCATATCAGTTAGTATATAAAGATGGACTAAGGTAATAAATACAGCACAGTCAGTAGCCATGGATTTGTAACCAATACCTTCAGCAGGCAAATGGAGACAGTTAGTAACAAAGAAACTGCTTTGAAATGAAATTTATGCCTCTGTCACAGATTTCAAATTTTTCGAATGTACATCTTCAAAGACTGGCTGCAGGCTGTCGGGACAAAAACTTCACCTATAAGTCGTGCCAGAAAATCTTCTGCCAGCCCTGGGAAAAGTGCATTCGTGGAAACTGTGTCTGCAAGCTGCCTTATCAGTGTCCAAAGAATGGGGAAAACGTTTGCTCAAGCAATGAAAAGAAATATAGGACATACTGCCAGCTGAAAAGTGTTGAATGTTCTCGAAATTCGGAAAAGTTCTCACATTTTGGGGCCTGCTCATTGGGTGAGAATGCAAAAATTGTTGTAATGTTTTCTACTTATCCATTTGAATAGGAAGATCTGTGGGCAGATGCAAACTCTCCTCAGTGAGATAAAATGTGCAGAAAACAGTCTTTCCCTTCATATTTATTGGGCTTAATTTTAATTTCTGGGGGATCCAGGAAGATACAGTTTAAAGTAAACTCTGCTTTGTGGAGGAGCCACTGGATTTCTCAACCCTTCCAATTGGAAAACCACCTGTCCACATTGTCCAAACACATGGCAATCTCTCTGATAGGCTGCAAAACTGAATTAGGCCTGCAAGCTCTCCAGTATTGCTCTGTCCCACTGTACAATGGCTCCCTCTGCTGCACCAATACAGCAGATTCCATTCTATCCATTAGTCATTTGATGGATTGCTGAATGAGAACATTAATTTGCCTTGAAACTGGGTTAGCGTTGAATCAATATCTGTTGCTAAAAGACTCCATTGTAAATGGCTGAAACAATCTCAGTTATGGTTTCAGAGATAGTAGGAACTGCAGATGCTGGAGAATCTGAGATAACAAGGTGTAGAGCTGGATGAACACAGCAGGCCAAGCAGCATCAGAGGAGCAGGAAAGCTGATGTTTCGGGCCTAGACCCTTCTTCAGAAATGAGGGAGGGGAAGGGGGTTCTGAAATAAATAGGGAGAGAGGGGGAGGCGGAAAGAAGGTGGATAGAGGAGAAGATAGGTGGAGAGCAGAAAGACAGGTCAAAGAGGCGGGGATGGAGCCAGTAAAGGTGAGTGTAGGTGGGGAGGTAGGGAGGAGATAGGTCAGTCCAGGGACGACGGACAGGTCAAGGGGGCAGGATGAGGTTAGTAGGTAGGAGATGGGGTGGGGC